ATGTAGTGGATAATAATTAGCAGGATAGATTGATAGTGACTAAATGGATATAATTTACAGATCGATTCCCCATTCCAAAGTGACAAATCTATTTCTTCCTATAGCTTGACTCACATATTTACCAAAGGGAGGCTTTTTCAAAAAGGAAAAAAGAAAAACATTAACAAATTCACGAATTAATTAGCCTAAAGGATGATTCCTATGATTCATATGATTAGCTACAGATTCAAGTATAGACTTGGTTGCTGTTGTCCTATAATCAGCCTTAAGGATCAATAGGCAATTTGTGTAATTGACAAAAAGACGGATAGATTGAAATATAGACTGATAGATTGATATAGATTGCTATATATTGATAGTGATTGATATTGGGGGGAATAAGGTAGTACCTTTATTTACATCAGCAGCTTGATAGGCTGCTGATGTAAATAAAGGTACTACCTTATTCCCCCCAATACAACGTACGATCAATATAGCTGTATGTATTTGGTGTATCTTTCAATTTAAATACAACTATATTGACCGTATGTTGTATTCGAGGGAAGAAGGTAGTACGGATCCTCTGCAATCCGCCATTCCAATCATTCATTGTGGTGGACGTCGACGGTATTATTATTACCTTAAGGTTGTGTTGTTATGAGATGTCGTTTTGTTGCCTCCTGTCCCCAAGTGATTGCGTAATCTGCCTCTTTCAATTCAATCCTCCGTGAGCATACCCACCACCTGGTAAAATGCACCTGTACTAGGATTAATTGATTGATTGATTGATTGATTGATTGATTGATTGATTGATTGATTGAGAGATTGAGAGATTGAAAGATTGAGAGATTGAGAGATTGATTGATTGGGAGATTGACAGAATAATTGGTCCGTAGGAGGATAGATCGTGATTCATAGGACAGATTTGTTTGCTATGTTTTGTAAAGAAATAAAAAGCTAGGTTGAGTGATTGAGAGATTGGTTGAGAAATTGATTTTTTGATTGAGAGATTGACAGATTTACAGATTGGCCGGCAGATTGACAGGCTAATTTTGTAGCGATTAGCAGGATAGATTTGATCGCTATATTTGCAACAAAATACAAACATAGGTTGTGTACTCCGTACATTGATTGATTGATTAGCTGATTGATTGGTTGATTCATTCATTGATTCATTCTTTGATTGATTCATTCATTGATTGATTGACTAATTAACTGAATGATTGATTGGTTTGCAACAAAATAAGAAGATATGTTGCCTACTCCATATATTGATGGATGGATGGATGGATTTGCACGAAAGATTGCTGGGCACATCTATTGATAGATTAGTAAGACATTGATTGCTTGACCGACTGGCGATGCAGGGATTGATATTGAACGGTCGAATCATTATGCAGGGATTGATATTGAACGGTCGAATCACTATTTACCTCGCTCGAGCCTGCATGGTTTGTGCCTGGTTTAAGCCGAGGGTTTGTGTCTGGTCTGTACCTGCCGGGTGCCTGTTCTACCTAGTTTACACCAGGTTCATGCCTAGTTTGCACCTGGTTCGTACACGGTTTTATCCAGTTTATGCACCTGGTGCGTACTCCGTTTTATCTGGTTTATGTAACGTTCGCTTAAACTTTTCTGGTCCTTACTCTGTACCTGGTTTACATAAGCCTTGTTTCGATCTGGTTTGTCCCTGGATTATCACTGGTTCGTTACTGGTTTGCTCCTCGATTATTCCTGGTTTGTCAATTGTTTGCCCCTGGTTTGTGCCCGGTTTGTGCCTGGTTTGTGCCTGCTTGTTTCTGGATTGTCCTTGGTTTGACCCTGGCGTGTCCGCGGTGCATGCTCGGTTTGTCCCTGGTTCGAACCTGGTTTGTTCCTGGTTTGTACCTGGTGTGTACCTGTTTTACATCTGGTATATCCCTGGTTCGACCCTGGTTTGTCCCTCGTTTGTGCCTGGTATGACCCTGGTTCAACCCTAGTTTGTTCATCCTTTGCTCCTGGTTCCACCCTGGTCTGTCCCTGGTTTGCACCTCGTTTTTCCCTCGTTAGACCCTCGTTAGACCCTCGTTAGACCCTCGTTAGACCCTCGTTTGCATCTGGTTTGTCCCTTGCGCAACTCTGGTTTGTCCCTGGTTCAACCCTTGTTTGTCCTGGTATACACCATACGCATCTGGTAGTTACCTCAATGGTACATGCCGTCATGCGCACAACTGTTCATTGAAATTGCCACCCTCTACCCC